TACCCCCCACAACCAACACGGCCGCCTTTATGTTTCTGCAGCCTCCTCCCCGAGTCTGCCTGGAGAACCAGGGAAAGCTGCAGATGCTGCTGGCAGAGAGTGTGCCTGCTCTGAGGACCCAGCAGCCCCGGCCCGGGGATAGGACAAGGACGTGGCTGGGCTCTGCTGTCTGACTGCTGAGGGCTTCTGCCCCAGGGTGGCCAGGCTGGTGCACAGGAGGGCCGGGCCTGCCCAGCCGGGAGAGTCCAGAGGCTGCTTCCTGTCTCACCAGGTCTGACCAGCACTGCAGCCCTGCCCTCTCCTGCCCATGGCCCAGGTCTGGATCACACCCCACTTTGTTCCGTGGTTTGAAGCAGAAATAAAAGCACTTCCTGGTGGCCAGCAGGCACACTTGATGGGGATGCAAGAGACTGAGGACAGTTTGGGTTCTGCCTGTGGCCTTCCAGGTGAGGGCCTCAGCTCCAAGCCCAGGCTGGTCAGTCCAGAGCACCTCTTAGGTGACCACTTGCACATGGCACTGGGGCAGGCTGGGCAGGGCTGAGTTGGCTCTGTGGCTGGTGCCTCTGCCCAGGGACCCTCTCTCTGCTTCGGCCAAGGCTGCCCAAGGCAGAACCAGCCTCCTCCAGGCGGCCTCCCAACCCTCCGTGGGACCTCCTTGGGGCCAGGGCTGGACCTGGGTGCAGGAAAGCACAGCCGTGGCACCTGGGGTGGGCCGCACCATTCCAGGTTGGATCTCGTTAAATTCTTGTGAAGGTCCCATTTTACACGTGCGGGAACTGAGGTGCAAAGCAAGGTGCCCAAGGCTAGGGGCTACGAAGGGAATCCCTGAGGTCAGGAAGCCACAAGGCTGCCACAGAACCCACATCAGAGGTTGGTTGAGCAGGCATCTCTTCCTGCCCTATGTGGGGGTCCTGTCCCTCCACTGGGTCCATCGATATGGTCTCTGGGCTCCGTTCTACTGCAGGAGGGGAGCCGTGCTGCCTGGTTGTAGCTGGCATGGGAGCAGAGCCCTGAGTGTGGCCCAGGGCCCCCTCCCCAGGTGTGTCCCCCCAACCTGGCCCTCTGCCCTTAGCCAGCCTGAGCCAGGCTGAGGAAGCTTAGGGCCGGGCAGTGAGACACTCCATAAATGTCAGCTCTGCCAAGTCCATGGCCCTTCTGTGGCCCGGGCAGGCGTGCCAGGGACCCATGAGCAGTGGGAGGCAGGAGACACTGCCCCTCTGTGCTTTCCTGCTGCCTCGGCAGCCTCCAGGAGGAAGATGCACTTTCTCCTACAGCCTTCCTTCTAAAAATAGCCACCCCCCCCCCAGCCCCCAATGCGGGAAAGGTGGGAGGCAAGGTGCGGAAGTTGGCCTGGCAGCCTGCTTCAGTTTCAAACCTCAGGACCCCGTGGGCTCTCCCCTGGACTATAGCTCAGGGGATGGGTGGGGCGGGCTTTCAGTCCTCTCCGTCCTCCTCCAGTTCTTCCTGTCGGTTCTGGAGCCAGGGAGGGAGAGGCTTGACCAGGATGGGGGACATGGGGGTAGTTTTGTGAAAGGGGACAGACATTTCGCAGGATGCCTTGCAGACACGTGGGATGTAGGGTGCAGGAGGCCGGCATGTGACTGGGCGATGACGCCATTTACTGAGATTTAATCCTCACCACATGGCTCCAGGGCGAGAATTATGACACCCATCTCAACGCCACTGCCCGGGACCCACACAGCCGAGCGCCCGAGCTCCGGAGGAGTCCCAGGGCACCCACAGCGCCCCGCCGGCGCGCCCAGTCCAGCAGGGCAGCTTTCGGGCGAGGCGACCCCCGCCGCAGGTCCCACGACCCTGCGTGCCCTTGAGCCAGGGATGCGGAGGCCCGACCGCGGGGCACTGCTCCACCCCGCCGCCCTTCACCGCCCGCCGGGGCCCAGAACGCCCAGCCACGCCCAGAGCCCGCGGGCGCAGACGGCAGGGGCGGTGCCAGCCAGGCCCCGCCCCCGGCACGAGGCGACCTGGGGACGCCCCGCGGGAGTCGTCCTGCGACTCCCCCTGGCGTCGGCTGGGGCCACCGCCCGGGCTCCCACCTCAACCCTGAAATATGGGATTGGGGCAGAGTGGTCTGCTGCCCGCTGCCCGCAGCCGCTTCGAGTTAGGGAGGGAGCCTGGGCCTCCGGGGCTCACGCTGCGCTTAACGCTGGTCGGGGCAGCAGTGAGGGTGGAAGCGGCCGCCTCTGGCTTCTACACCCCAGGTGTGACAGCCTGGCCTCTCAGCAAGCCCCCGGTCAGGCAAGCATCTGGTGGTGGGGGTCCTGCTCCCTGGCCTTCCCTACCTGGGAGCCAGGTCCTCAGCCAAGGTGAACCCATTTGATCCCGACGACAATCCCATTTTCTGGAGGAGCAAACTGAGGCTCAGAAATTGAAGTGCTTCTCCAAGGTCGTGGGGAGCTGGGTTTGCCCTCTAGCCAGTGTCCCTGCCTAGGCCTCTTCCCTCCTAATGGCCCCTCACCCTGCCTTCTCCTGACCCTGTGCCCAAGCTTCTTTGAGACAAGGCTGGGTTTTTCCAAAGGGATTTTACTGAGAAACTTTGGGAAAAACATGGACATAGCATGAAAGAAACATTGCAACCTCATGCTGAGAGCGGGCACAGGCTCAGGTGGCTGTGGGGAGCAGATGGGAGTTGAGGGGATGTCCAGGAGCAGTCCTCAGGCCCTGGGCACCACTAGCTTTTCAGGCACCTGTGTATTGAATGGAGCGACCCATAATGGGAGATCCCAGGACCCCAACATGCCCTGTGAGCTGGGAGGTGGGAGGATCAGACCAGGAAGTCTCCAGTCCACCAGGGCCTGGCTCTATGGGAAGACCCAGTCCACAGAACCAGAGATCTAGGTTGCAGTCCTGGCCTCTCCGGGCAGCTGCATGGCCGAGAGCAGGTCACTGAGCCCTGGGAAGCCAGCTACCTTGGACCCCGGCTGTCTCTGTTCAGTTGTACTTATTCCTTGTTACCCCTCATCTCTGCCTGTTGGAGACAGGTGGGGTGGGACAGGCCAGCAGGTGGGACTGGGCTGGGAGGACAGGCCTGTGGGCTGCTGGGCACCTCTCGGGCTTGAAGTGGGACTCTTAGCACCCCACTTCACAGAGGGAACCCAGGGCTCAGGGTAGTGACTCGAGTGGTTAATTGGTGGGCTTCCTGGAGGAGGTGCTGGCATCTTTGAGTCTAATTTGGCCCCTCTGCAGATGGTACTGCAGCATCTCAGGCACCTTCGGGTCTGTTACGGGCTGCTTTTCCCCTATACAATTCGTATATTGGGTGGGCACAGTGGCTCACGCCTGTAATCTCAGCACTTTGGGAGGCCTAGGCTGGCCAATCACCTGAGGTCAGGAGTTCAAGACCAGCCTGGCCAACATGGTGAAACCCCATCTCTACTAAAAATACAAAAAATTAGCTGAGTGTGGTGGTGCGTGCCTGTAATCACAGCTACTCAGGAGGCTGAGGCAGGAGAATTGCTTGAACCCAGGAGGCGGAAGTTGCAGTGAGCTGAGATCGTGCCACTGCACTTCAGCCTGGGTGACAGAGAGAGACTCTGTCACACACACACACACAAAAGAAGTCCAATCTTAGAATGTGACCTTATTTGGAAAATTCCTTATAAAAACATGTGACGTTTAAAGAGGTAATAAGTTAAAGTTAAGTCATTAGGGTGGACCCCAACCCACATGAAGAGGAAATATGGATGCAGACACAAAGAGGAAGACCCTGTGGAGACCCAGGAAGAAGGGGGCCACCTACACACCAAGAAGAGAGCCCCAGGAGAAACCAGCCCCACAGACTCCTTGATCGCGGGCGTCGGGCTTCCAGAACGGGGAGAGAATAAACGTCTGTTGTTGAGGCTCAGTCCCTGGTCTGTTGTGGCAGCCCTAGGATGCTGGGTACATGGGACCATCCCTGCCCTCAGCCCTAGGACGCTGGTGCACCAGCCTGTCTCTGCCCTCAGCCCTAGGACACTGCGTGCATGGGGCCATTCCTGCCCTCAGTTGTAGGACGCTGGTGCACGGGGCCACCCCTGCCCTCAGCCAGAGGATGCCGGCGCAGGAGGCTATTTCTGCCCACCTCAGTACCCTGCGGCGGCCCCGTCGCACACCCTTGTGGCCCCAGCCCAGGCTGGGACAGGCCTGGATCTGTCCTCTTTGGATTTTCCCTGAATTGTTTTCTGGGACGCTCGCTGCGGAATCCCCCTATGCAGGGGTGAGGCTGCCTCTTCTGGGAAGTGTCAGCGGCCCTCCTCGCAGCAGTTGCCCGCCTGACCCCCCGCCTCCACACCTTTGCCCCTGCCCAGGATGCCGTCCCTCCTCACTCCTGAGTGTGCCCTGTCTGTCCCTAGGACCCCGTCCCTTCCCCCAGCTCCTGAAGCCCCGAGGAACGGCCTGCGGCTCTCAACTGCTTCCTTCACTGTCACCATGAGCTTCCCTGACAGGCAGGGAGCGGGGGTCTTGGGATGAACTCGATGGACTGGCCCTGTGCTAGAGCCTCTGTCCTGGAGGGAGGGGTCCTTCTGGGCTCTGGCACTGTGGGCTGAGTGTCGCCCGAGGCCAGCGCCTGCTTCCGCTGGCCTCTGAGCAAAGGAGGGGCCGGTGGTGTGTTTCAGGTGGCAGGCAGTGTCCACCCCTGCTGCCTCGAGCCCTGAGTGCCGAGCTCTACAGCCTTCCCCTCCCTTGTTCTCTGACCCTTGGACGGAGCCCTGAGCTGTCTGGAATGGAAAGCTGGAGTGACTGCCTCCGGAACGAAAAGGAAGTGGGAACTTCTCTGAAAGTGGAAGTATGGGGTCCTGGCGGAGGGTAGGGCTGTGGGTGGGGCCGGGTGGGCCTGGCAGGCACTGAGCATGGCTGGGAAGTCCCAGCTGTTGGTCACTCGCTCGGGTCGCTCTGGAGGCTCGATGGCCAGGGCCCGGCTCTGAGGGCCCCACGGGCCGGCTTCTCAGGTGGCTGCGTTCTTCCTGGGTCAAGGCTGTGTGCCCAGCAGGTATGTTCTGGCCAAGTGGAGCAGGAGGGCATGGGGTGCTATGGGCGGGCGGGGGTGGCGACTCATGGGCTTGAGGACCATTTTGGCTCTGCATGTGGCCTTCCAGGCCAAGGGCCTTACTCAGAGCGCGGGCTGACCAGGCCAGAGGGCCAGCGCAAGTCACAGTGGACACAAACACACCCGATACACAGGCAGACACGCTCAGGCAGAAGCACAGATAGACAGACACAGAAGACACCAAGATGGGCATGCGGGCCCAGACACAGACTCAGAAGCACTGGCAGGCCCTCTGGGGACACTCCAGGGCAGAGTCACGCACATACAGGGAGACACTCTCAGGTCAACACACAGATGTGCAAAATCGATGCCCAGAAAAGTGCGCATATACCCGTGCGCTCACGCTCAGGCGTCAGGTTCACTTGCCTGGTTTCCCTGGGAAAGTGCCGAGTACTAGCCATGGCTGGGGGCTGAGTCAGGCTCACTCCCTGCCTTGCGAGTCTCCTGGTCTCCAGGCTCTGTAACTGTCCCTCCGTCATGGCAGGTGTGCCCAGTGCTGGGATCAGGCCCAGAGCAGGAGGTGCCGAACATGGTATGGGCTCAGCTGGTCGGGGAAGGCTTCTCACGGGAGGAGCCATTTCTGCGAGCCTTTAATGAGTTGACAGCTGAAGAAGAAGGGGCTGAGCTCACTGTAGGCAGAGTGCAAAGGTGTGGAGGAGAGGTGGGTGCTTCTGAGTGATCAGAGCGAGGGAATAAGTTGGAACTGAAGCCAGAGGGGTCATTAGGAGAGGCCTTGAATGCCAAGCTAAGGATGGAGCTGTGCTGCTTCTGAGGGCAGCGGTGGCCCAGGGGGCTTATGCTTTGTTGCTACTGTGAAGGGAAGTCTTTTTAAGTGTCTCTTTCTAATAGGCTTTGCTGGGGTACAGGAAAGGTATTGCTTATATTTACATAATCAACGCACAAAACTTACTAAACCCTTTTATTATCTCTAATAATTTTCAGTCTCAGATTTTCTAAGCCAACAATCATATCACCTATGAATAATGACAATTTAATCTGCTCCTTCCCAGTGTTTACATCTCTTATCTATTTTTCTTTCCTTATTGCCTTAATTTGTTCTTCCAGGCAAATGTTGAGGATTCAGAGTGGTGAGAACAAACATCCTTGTCATTTTCCTTATTTGCAGGGGCTAGAAGGAAAAGGAAAGCTTACAAGGAAAGCTTTCAAAACCCGGTTTTACACGTGCCTGGGTTGATATCCTGATCATTGTCCCTCCCGCTGTGCTCTCAGGCGATAGATGATTGGCTATTTCTTTACCTCCTCTTTTTGCCTAATTAGCATTTTTGTGAGCTCTCTTTACTACTTGATTGGTCAGGTGTGAGCTAAATTGCAAACCCTGTATTTAAAGGTGGATGCAGTCACCTTCCCAGCTGGGCTTAGGGATTCTTAGTCGGACTAGGAAATCCAGTTAGTCCTGTCCCTCAGTCCCACCTCTCAACAGGAAAACCCAAATGCTGTTGGGGAGGTTGGCCGACGACCGCTCTAACTGCTAGGCAAGATTCTTATGACTGATCCTAGGAGGCAGCATCGAGGGGGCCTGGAAAGGAGAGCAGCTCGGAGGCTGTGATCAGGTGAAGGTGGATTGCAGGCGTGGAAGTGAGAGGGGACAAGCCCCGCACAGGGCTTCAGCCCAGGGCACAGTACAGGCAGTCACCTGCAGAGGCTCCTTTGGAGCGCTGAGGAGTGGAGCGATGGCCCAGTCCCAGCGTAGGTGGGGAGGCTGGGGGGTGGGTGAGCACTGCAGAGTGATCGGGAGGATGAGGAGCAGCTACGGGAAGGAAGGTCTAGGGGAAAGTGGGGAGTAGAAGCTGAGGCTGGGGGTAGGGAGGGTGGGGAAGTTCAGACTTGACTTCTCGGTCACAGCTAGGGTGGCCCAGGGTGGGAGGTCTCAGTGACTGTGTCTCTGGGTGGTTTCTTGCCCCTGCTGCTGGCCCCACAAAGGGGGTATTAGCCTGACCTGGGGAGAGTGGGACCCGGGGCTCAGGCCAGGCCTCAGTCTCCAGGGTCTTACAATCAGGGAGCAGCAGCATAGGAGCTGGGGCCCCCTGGACCCTCCAGGCACTGGGGACAGAGAGACACAGAGAGAAAAGAGAGCCAGAGACAGTCCAGGGGGGTGTGTGGAGGCAGGCACAGGGAGAGGCCAGGCGAGAGCCTTGGGGGTGGAGGAGGGAGCTGAGAGGGGCCTTCAGGTCTCAGCCCAGCAGGCGCCAGCATGGCAGCAGGCAGGCCAGTCGGAGGAGGCAGGGCGACCCTGACACCGATGTTCCCCCTGCTTCCAGGCTGTGCTCTGGGGTGACAGGGGTAGATGGACAGAGGCTGCCAGGCCAGTGCAGGAGGGCCACATCATCACAGGGACAATGCCGAGTGCCCACTGAGCGGATAAATGGTGACGGCAGGTGGTGTGAGGCATCTGAACCCCGAGGTCCTGAAACCCAGGTCAGATTTGGCGAACAAACAGGGTGCAGGAAAGGGAATGGCCGGAGGGAAAGCCGGAGGCTGGGCGTGCAGCTGGGAGGACAGAGAGGAGGCTGGGTGGGATGCAGGTTGTCCGTGAACCCCAGGGGAAGCTGGTGAGGTGTCATCAGCGAGAGGTAGAGGTGGAGGAAGGAGGTTCCAGGATGGATGCCTGGCTGTGGGGCTCGGGCAGGAGGGAACCATGGAAGGGCTTAAAGCAGGGGAGTGACCTGGCTGGACTTTTGCTTTGGGAAGGTCAAGAATGGCTTGGGAAGCTGTTGGGAGCTGCAGGGTCAAATGAGGCATGGCTGGAGGCTGAGAGGCCATCTAGGGACCTTACTGGCCCTTCAGCGAAGTTCTGGTTTGGGACAAAAGCAGGCTGAGTGGCCCCCACGCCTCTGCCTATGTAACCTCCTAAGAGATTCACTCCCACAGCTGCCCCTCCTTACCTGGCCTTCCTCTAGGCTTCCTGGGAGAGGACCTCCACATCTGACCCCACTCTGGGACCTGCTGACACCTGGGGTCTCCTCACTGGGAGGGGGGCTTCTGGGCAGCAGTTCTGATTCCCTGGAGGTGGAGACACGGCTGGTCCTGCCTCTGCTCCCAGCTCCAGGCAGGTTCCCCAGCCTGAGCTACGCGGCCAGGGGCAGACTCTGTCCCTCTGTGGGCCTCAGGTTCCTCGTCTGTGAAATGGGCAAATGACACCCCCTAACTTTGTTGTCACAGTAGCTGATCTGTGTCAGGCATCGAGGTGGGCACACAGTAGGTGCTTACCAAGTGTGAGCTCTCCCAAACAAGAAGGCGGGGCTTGACTTGTCCTTGCCCCACATCCCGGCCTCCGTCCCCTTGACAGGGGTGGATGTGGCGTGTGCCAACACCCCTGTCCGGCTGGGCGCCAGCCCCCATGCCAAGCATGGAGGGGCACCAGGGAGAGGGGAATGGAGGCTGGGACAGATGGCACCCTGAAGTGTGTGGGTCACGTCCGAATCAGGCAGCGTCTCTGAACCTTGGCGCTGGGGGAAGTAGCCAACCTGTGGCCAGGGCGGGGCTGAGAAGCCCCATCAATCACCTGGCTGCCTCTCCCACCCCGCCTCCATCCAGCTGCTTAGCCGCCTCCGTGTCTCTCCCACCCCAGCCTCCATCCAGCTGCTTAGCTGCCTCCAGGAACCTCAAGGAAGGTAGGTGGGTAGGCCTCTGCTGGACCCAGCAGGCACCTTGCTGGAGGGCGAGGGTGGGTGGGGGTCTGGGCCCTGCCCACCTTGGTGTCATGCCACCCCAGCAAACTGGGGCCTGGGGAGGCACACTTCCTGCCTGATGTCACCCAAGGGTTGGGTGGTGGGTCAGGCGGGGGCTTTGGTCCTGGCACCTGGGTCGGGGGCCCTGGGGCTGGGCTAGGGGCAGGTTCAGCCCTTCTTTGGCCCCAGTTTCTCCCAGGGGAAAGTGAGGCTTTGCCAGCCTAATGCCCTCCCCAACCCATGGCCCAGCTTGTGTAATGGGGTGGGTGGGAGGCCCCCTCCTCTCTCCCAACCTAAAGCCAGGAAAGCAAAAGCTCCTAAGGCTGGAAGGGGGTGTGGGTGGAGCCTGGCAGGCCAGGGTGCTGAGGGCCCTGGGGGAGCAGGAGCAGCCACAGCTCAGCCACTCCCGTGTCCCTGGGACACTCCCTCCATTCCCTGTGTTGGGGAGGGGCCAGAGCACACTACGGTGAAGAGGAGGAGGAATGGGGGAGGGGGAGAGGCAATGGGTGGGAAACAGTGTTGAGAACCCCCCAGTCCCTGGTTAAATATAGACCCGAGGCTCCTCCTGCTGCCGGCCATGCGGCTGCACAGCCATGATAAGCAGCAGGGTGGCCTTGGCCACTGCCCTCAGACCCCACACCACCTCAGCAGACTCTGCAACACCCGGGGAAGGGGTGGGCTCTCATGGGGGTCCCTGCCCTCCCCTTGGAGCCAAAGTAGTCAGGCCTTTTGGGCTGAAGCGGGGTGAGCTGAGGGACCTGGAGGGCAGTGAAGGAGCTGGTGGGGGATGGGGGGAGGGTTTTAGGCCTCAGGACCTAACATCTGGGAAGGCCTAGGTGTGGCTGCTGGTCCTGCCCTCGCGTGTTATGAGCTGTGGTCTGGACTGGGCCCCAGAACCTGCATGTCAATGCCCTTCTCCAATTCTAATGGGAGGGTCTGGCCTGGCAGGCTAAGTGATGGTGGGCACCTGGGGAGACCCTCTTTGGGGGATGGTCTCAGGAAAGGCTCCTGATGGAAGCAGCTGTCTATATCTCCGTGCCCAGCTGCGGCCTGGCACACTGAGGGCTCTCGCCAAGAGAGTGGCCTGATGATGCTTCTTTTTGACAGCCTGAGGGCTGCCTCCTCTGGGGAGCCTTCCTTGACCAAGCCCCTGGGTGTGGCCAGGCCCCACAGAGCCACACCACGTTTCTGCGTCTGCTCCTGTGGCCACTCCTTCTTGCCCTCAGCTCTCCTGCTGCCAAGATGCCATCGCCACAGACAGAGACTCCTGGGCTGGAGCTGCAAAGTCCCAAGGAGGCTGAGGAGTCGCAGACTCCAGCTCAGGGCTCCCGGCAAACAAGCAGCAGGAAAGAGCCCAATGCCCACTGCAAGGATGGCACAAGGCTGGGCCTGGGCACCTTGAGGCAGGCCTTCTCCCGGGCCAGCCAACGGGCTTTGACCCAGGTCTCCAAGGAGGATACAGGCCTGTTCCGGCGAAGCTCTTGCTCCCTGTTCCGGTCCTTCCGGCAAACCCTGGATGAAGGCCCAGCTGCCGGCCATTTCCAGGCCACTCCTGAGGTGCCCTCGGGGGTCATGAATGGTATCAGCCAGCAGGCATCCACTGGGGCAGCCTCTGAGGAACTGAAACCCGAGGCAGGTAAGGGCCTCAGAAACAACACTAAATATGAAAGGAAATGGGTGAGAGGTTGGGGCAGCTGAGCTGAGGCTTCTGGAAAGGCTCTCCTCCCTGGCTCCCCAAACCGTGGCCCCGGACACGTGCACTTATTTATTTATTTGAGACAGGGTCTCCACTCTGTCACCCAGGCTGGCATGCAGTGGTGCAATTACAGCTCACTGTGACCTTGACATCCTGGGCTGCAGTGATCCTCCCACCTCAGCTTCCTGAGTAGCTGGGACTACAGGTGTGAGCCACTGCACCCGGCTAAATTTTTTTTCCTTTTTTTTTCTTTTTTTTGAGACTGAGTCTCACTCTATTGCCCAGGCTGGAGTGCAGTGATGCAATCTCGGCTCACTGCAAACTCCACCTCTCTGGTTCAAGTGATTCTTCTGCCTCAGGCCCCCAAGTCGCTAGGACTACAGGCGCCCACCACCACACCTGGCTAAATTTTTTTTTTTTTGTATTTTTAGTAGAAACGGGGTTTCGCCATATTGACCAGGCTGGTCTTGAGCTCCTGACCCCGTGATCTGCCCCCTTGGCCTCCCAAAGTGCTGAGATTACAGGCGGGAGCCACTGTGCCTGGCCTAATTTTTTAAATTTATTTTTATTTTTTGTAGAGATAAGGTCTTGCTATTTTGTCCAGGCTGGTCTCAAACTCCTGAGCTCACTCAATCCTCCTGCCTTGGCCTCCTGAAGTGCTGGGATTACAGGCGTGAGTCACCATGCCCAGCTGGACAATTGCACTTTAAATTCTTGCAATATCTCTGCAATAGGAGCTCCCGCATTGGGCAGATGAGAAAAGTGAGGCTCAGAGAGGTGGAGTGACTTGCCTCAAGTCTCACAGCATGGAGAATGGGACTTGAACCCAGATCTGCATGGCCGGCCCTAGATACCCAGCCTCTCCATGACCTGTCATAGCCTGACTCCTGGCCAAACTAGGGCCATGCACATAGCTGATCACAGGGTTGCAGAGGGTGCAAGGCTCGCAGAGGTACCCGGAGGGAAGGTCGGGGGGATTGGCCAGAGGAGGATACACTGGGGTTGGGAAGAGGGGGACATGGTAGAGGTGGAGAGCTCCTGTTGGGTGGAGGCTGGTGGAGAGCGGGGAGCAGCAGGAATGTAAAGCTGGACAGGGCAGGAAACGCCCCGCCTGAGCTCCGACCCTGTTAGACCTGCAGTTAGGGCTGAGCAGGAGGCTATCAGGTCCGGCTCAGCTGGGAGTAGAAGGTGGGCGTGGGAGCCAGGCGGAAGGTAGGGGTTCACCCAAATTGCTCTGTTCAGCCAGGCTTGGGGCCCCAGGGTCTGCCTCTTCAAAGGTGACTCTAAGGAAGGGTTCCTGGCAGCTGGGGCCTGTTGTTCCTGGAGCAGGCCTTCAGCTGGGCTGGGGCATCTGGTAGAGCCCAGGCAATCCAGCCCGGATGGACTCAGTCGCGGCCTGCAGGTCTTCATCCAGGTCGGGGTCTCGGGGCGGTCTCTCTCACCGCTCCTCTTCTCGCCTGCCTGTGCAGAAGGCAAATCCGTGGCCGACCTCATTACTGAACGGCAACTGCTGGCGGCCTTCGAACAGCTTCTGCGCCTGGAGACACGGCTGGTGGCGGAGAAGGCCTCGCGCACCTTTGAGCAGGATCCCACGGCCTTCGCGCGGCGCGCCATGGACGTGTGCCTGCATTACGACGGGCTGGCAGCCGAGCTCAGCGCCATCGTGCGCGAAACGCTGGGCAGCGACGGCGTGGACGCGGCCGTGCTGGCCGAGCTGGCCCGCGTGGTGAACGCAGAGGAGGAGGCCCACCCCTCGCCCCCCGACGACGGCGACTTCCTGCGCACGCCGCGCCACTGGCGCCAGCACTGGGAGGAGGCGGTGCGGCGGAGCGCTCAGGAGCGCGTGCGGCGGCCGGGCGCGGGGGGGGCCTCTGCGGCGGCGGAGGGCGCCTCGGGTCTGGCCCAGCTTCTGGCAGAGCTGGGCGTATTGGTTCGCCGCGATCTGCAGAAGGTGCGGCAGGAGGTGCAGCCCGCTTATGCGGCGGCCGGCTTTCCGGCGTGGGAAGTCTATCTGCGCGCCTTCCACAGCGCGGTGGCCCAGCGCCTCCAGGAACTCGCGCGCGACGCCCGCGGCTGTGAGCAGCTCTATGTCCTGCTGGACTGGGCCGCCAACGTCTATGGCAGGTGAGCCTCGGCCAGGGCGCCAAGTGGCGAGGACGGCTGCCGCTTCCCCCGCAGGCCTTGGGGAGCCCGCTTTGAGGAGCACCAGGCCTTTCTTTGTTCCCTCCCTGGGAGAGGGCTGAGAGCCGAGAGCTTCGACATGCTTTCCTCGGCGGGTTAGGCCATGGGGCGCTCCCGCCCCAGGTTTTCTAGGGGTCACCCATACACAGTTTCAGAATTTGAAAAGTTTCCGCGGGGAGGTTCCCATGGGAGTAGGGCCTGTGCTGGTCCACCAAGTGCCTTTGGGCGCATCAGAAAAGGGCACATCTTGGCCAGGCACCGTGGCTCACGCCTGTAATCCCAGCAGTTTGGGAGGCTGAGGGGGCTGATCACGTGTCAGGAGTTCGAAATCAGCCTGGCCAACACGGTGAAACCCCATCTCTACAAAAATACAAAAATTAGCCAGACATGGTGGCATGCACCTGTAATCTCAGCTATTCTGGAGGCTGAGGTAGGAGAATCACTTGAACTCGGGAGGCGGAGGTTGCAGTGAGCCGAGATCACGCTACTGCACTCCAGCCTGGGCGACAGAGCAAGACTCAGTCTCAAAAAAAAAAAAAAAAGAAAAAAGAAAAGCGAAAAGGGCACCCCGCTAGACCGGACTCAACCCCCGCGGGTTCGCAGCGCTTGGCGTGGGTTCACCCGTGCTATCCCCTTTGGACGGGCATCTGGGTTCAGGGTGCAGCCTGCGGGGAGCGGCTGCCGCTAGCTCTGTGCCTGGGATGAGGGTGGATTGCGTCCCCTGCGGAGCGGTTCCCAGCCCCACCGGCAGGAGCGCCCGCGGAGGTGGGGGGTGGGGTTGCCTGAAGTCCCGCACTCCTTAAATTTCTCCTTAAATTGTGTGGGGTCAGACCTATGTCCGCCCCGCTGTGGGCCTCCCTGCTATGGATTGGAGGTTGACCGACCCCTGAGCTGTGTTTGAGGAGAAGGCGGAGTGCCATCTGGGTAGCCGCCCTTCAGCATTCTGCAGGAAAGCAGGAACCCAGCTGTCAGAGGCTTCCGGGGAGGGAGTGTGGCATGGCAGCCTGGAGGCGTGTGTGCGTGTGTGCGTGTGTGTGTGTACAGATGCCCAGGTTCGGGATTAGCGTTAGACTTTGAGCCTGGCCAGAAGAGGGGCAGCTGCTGCCGCATCAGAGCCGCGCCCGCCCTCAGCCCCCTGCCCTGCCTTCCAGTCCTGACTTCCTGGGCCCCCCGGGCCTGGCGCTGCCCGCCGAGCCCCTGCCCCCGCTCCTGGCGCCCGACGTGTGGGCCCGACTGGAGAGCGACTACACCAGCTTCCTGGAGGTCAGGCCGGGCGGGTCAGGCTGGGCGGGCCAGGCTGGAGGGGGCGGGCCCTGGGGGGATGTGCGGCGCCCAGGCTAGCCTCCGCCAGAGCTGGCGCTGGTTCATCCTGAGGCCCCCGGCGCGGGCTTGTGACCCGACAGGGCGGCCCTAATCCCGGACGGCGCGGGACGCAGTCCGGGAAGGTCTCACCGCGGCCCCATCCCTTCTCCCGCAGGCCAAGATCACAAGCTGCTTCGACAACATCTTGCAGCTGGAGCAGAGTCACTGGGCGGCCGCCAAGGACCCCGAGGTGCTGCAGGGCCTTTACCAGGCGCCGCTCTCCATGGACGTCCACATGGTGCGGCCGGGAGCAGGGGCTGAGAAGGGGCGTGTGTTCAAGCCTCACGCACACGGTGGCGATACCCAGAACGAATTCCTATCCAGTCCCAACCAACCCTTCCGTTAGATGGGAGCCTGAGGCCCCACGTGGGGGGAAATCGGGGACCCCCGGCGCGCCGACGGGCTGGGAGGCTGCAGGGTGGGGTTTGCAGGAGTTGACTCTCGGATGGGCGGCTGAAAGCTGGAGGAGCCAAGACTGAGAGACACAGCGGGGCGGGCTGGAGGTGTGGGGGGACTACCAGGGGAGCCGCGGCTTCAGGTCTTCGGCTGGGACGCACGCTCAGTGCAGGACTTCGCTTGCAGCTCGTGGCTGAGCACGTGAAGGCGGCCGGCGCCATCTCCGCGGAGCTGGAGGCCACCACCCTGCGAATCTGCACGCGGGCCCTCGGCCTCTTCGTGCCCAGGTGCGGACGCATCCTAAGTAGGGGAGCGACCCAGCCTGGTGTGCTCTGCAGGTGGGAGGGAGGAGTCTGCGTAGGGACCTGATTGGGAGGGTGGACCCAGGGTCATCGCGCAGCCAGGGAGGGTCCCCAAAGGCTCTGTGGATCCCGTCCTAGGTTTGAAAAGGCTTTTCTGGCGTCAGAGGCGGTGAGCGAGCCCCACCTGGGCGCCTACATCAACGCCTGCGAGGAGCTCAGGTAGGGCTCGCCCGCTCCTGCACAGGCGCGGCGTGGCCAGCAGGGGGCGCGCGAGCGCCGGGAAACTGGATGGAAGGGAGTGCGCGCGCGTGGAGGGGGCAGCGGTGAGGAGTGTGTGTGTGTCTGTGTGTTGGTGGATCTGAGGAGTGTGTGTGCGTGTGTGCAGCAGAATTGAGGGGGGTGTGTGTGTGTGCGTGATGGAGCTGAGGGTGCGTGTGTGCGTGTGCATGTGTGGAGAGCTGAGGGTGTGTGATGTGCGTGTTTGGCAGAGCTGAGGGGTGTGTGTGTGTGTGTCAGAGCTAAGAGGTGTGTGTGCATGTGCGTGCAGGGGTGGAACTGAGTGGTGTGTGTGTGTCAGAGCTGAGGGGCGTGTGCCGTGTGCGTGTGTGTGTGTCCATCTGAGCGGAGGCCCTGCGGGAGTGTGGGCGGCTCTTCAAGGCTGAGCAGAGGGCGAGGGGTTCCAGCTCCCTGCCTGCTGCCCTGGGTTTTTCCCTCCCTTCATCCCAGACTGCATTTCTTCCATTTCGGGACACCTCCTCCTCTGGGAAGCCTCCCTCAGCCTGCACCCTGGGCTGTGCTGGGGTGAGGTCTGGGTCTCTGTGACCGCAGAAGGCAGAGGCCTTCCCTGTGGGCTGCCAGCGGCTGTCGGCCTGTGCCCTGAGCTCCAGGCCAGGCCTCAGCAGATGCAGCAGCGCAGAGGGCAGCCAGCGCCGGAGGCACAGACTGAGCCACCCCCGTCTGGGTTCATCCTTTTTCAACAGTTTGTAAATTGTAATGTCCCGAAGGACTTCTCATTTATCTGACTTCAGAGAGCAGCTGTGCCACCTGCTGGCTGTGTGCTCAGGGACAAGCCGCCTCCCCTCTGTGGCTCTTTTGCCACCTGTCAAATAGGATCAGAGCACCTGCTCCCTGGGGCGGTGTGGGAACTCTGTGCCTTAGGGGACTCAGTTCCCATTGGCTCTTTGTGAGCATTCGTGAGTGCCAGGCACTTTGTGAATGCCTTCCCTGCCTGACGGGTCTCCTCCCAAGTGCAGTGTACCCACGCACAGGTGCAGAGCACAGGCCTGGAAAGGAGGTGCCGCTTGCCCGTGGCCATGCAGCCAGAAGTGGCGGAGCTGAGACTTGAACTTGGCCTGCCTATATCCAAAGCATGACCATGAGGCACGGCTTCTCCAACACTCTCTTGTCCTTAATCTGTGCCAGGCTTGTCCTTGGCCCTGGGACCCTGGGGTTTCAGCTCCAAGGAGCGTTCTCTGACCCTTGGTAGGCAACCTCTGGCCAAACCCCTGATGGAACTCCAGCCTGCCGTACTGTGTCCCTGGCTGTGGGGACTAGGTGTAGCCTGGCCCTCAGTTTCCTCAACAGTGAAATAGGGACATTGTCACTTTCAGGGAGCAGTTATGAGGCTCAAGGTAGGGTGTGTTCCAGGCATGGCTATGCCGCACTGTTTATTACCAAGAGGGGTGGAAGGTCTGTCCCAGAGCTGCCAGAGGGGAAAGGGTCACCCGCCCCTGACCCACCCCTCTGTGACTGGCTCCCTGGGCTTCTGTGCTGTCCCCCACTTGACTCTGCTTGCAGGCAGCTACACTGGGGAGCCCCACAGGCTGCCCTTCACATTGTAGTCTCAGTGAGTGGAGCTGTGCGCCTGGCCCTGTTCCCCAGCCTGGTCTCCCTTGCCCACTCATCGCTGGTCCTGGCCACTCCGCAGGACCAGTATTCTCTCTAGGTTCCCAGCAACTCAAGAGGAGCTGGAGAAGCCCCTGCTGGCGGCCACCTGCAGCTTCCAGAAGCACCTGCTTCAGGGCTTGCAGCGTGAGTTGCAGGTGACTATGACAGGCCCTCTCTCCCCACTTCCCATGCCCAGGAGGTACCCCCTTTTTCCTAGAGCCTGGAGGCCCAGGTCACAGCGTTCATTTATTCCAGGGGCCAGCTCATGGGTGTGTGTAGGGTAGTGGGCAGGGGACCCAGGTGAGGTCCCAGCTGAGCAGGGGCGGCTGGGAGACACCTGCCTTCTCACTTCAGTCTCCAGCTCTTAGTGGTCACCCCCGAAGCCTGGGATGGTGGGTCCACGGATCCAGGCCCAGGGTCCTCACCCAGTCCCTCAAGGCTTCCCCGGGGCACACCCTGAGCAGATCTGACTGGACAAACCCTGCCCCTGGATCATGGGGCCCGGGAGAGGCATTCTGGGAAAGGGCTCCTGATATAACCTGTGGCTAGGAGGGGGAATGGCACCCCAAACCCAGGAGAGAAGGGGTCAGGAGTGGCACACTGGGCTTCGAGGGAGGGGTTAGGTTGGGGGGGTAGTGCACATTTGCAGACTCCCAGCCCCTCTTTCCCCAGCCGCTCTTCAGGGTTGTGTGCACCAGGGACTGGCTGACGCAGGACTGGCTGCGTCCCCTCATGGGCAAGGTAGTGAGGTTCACCGGTCATCTCCAGCGTGTGGCCCAGCCACGGGCACAGGTACCACAAGGGGGAGGGCCCTGGCAGGGCTGTGCCCATGGTTGGGGCTGTTGACTCTGACCCTGACCCTGACCCTGGGTCGCCCAGGAGACTCTGCAGGAGGTGCACCGGTTCGTGGTCCGCGAGTACCTGGCACAGGCGCTGAAGCCACGGAAGCGGTTCTGGGCCATGGAGCGCATGCGTGGCTCCCAGAAGATGAGCCTGGATGCCCAGGCCATCAGCGACACCTTCCAGGGCCTGGTAGGGGTGACATCTGACTGCCCCTCGGTGCTCGCCTCTGTGTGGGGAGGGGTGGCAGTGACTAGGGCCATAGCACCAGAAGGGCTTTTGGCGGGAGTGGTTCTCCTGATGCTGGATCAGGTGAAACAGGGACTGGGGCACCTGTGGGGCTGGGGGGTGGGGGGAACCAGGTGGGAGGGTGGCACATTGCAGACTTTTGCATACAGTTTGCAGGGCTGCAGGGAAGGGGCGAAGGTCACAGCCCCATCTCGTGGTCAGGGTCTGTGGGAGGTGTTCCCCACCTCAGGCCAGAGCCCTCAGAGTGGAGGCACCAGCGCCCTGCATACCCCTTGTTTGCCCCCAGCAGCAGCACGCTCAGGCTGGCCTCGGTTTTCCTGTCCGAGCAGGATGGGATGGGAGGGGAGATGAATGCTGTGTGGCCCACGAGCCCTGGGTGCCCAGGCACGCTCCTGTTCTGTTTTGGGGGAGGCAGTCCCAGCACCGAGCTGAAGTGACTGCGGGAGGGCTGACGCTGCGGGAGGGCTGACGCTGCGGGAGGGCTGACGCTGCGCTGACCTGGTGCTCCTGCAGGAGTTGGAGCAAGGGTGGGGAGAGGGCTCCTGGGGCAGGTGGCAGTTCTGTCTCGAAGGGTTCCGAGGCCACATGGTTGGACCAAGCCATCCAGTGCGTGGCCGAGATCCTGGGCGAGACTTACAAAGACGACATCCAGCGGCACCTGGAAACTCTCATCCGGAGCTACCCCGACATTAGGTGCGTACCCTACCTGCTTCCGTTAACTTCCTACCAGAGCTTCGGGGCCAAGGGGCTGGTATCTCAAGGCTGGAGGGGGTATGGAGAGCATCCCTTCCTTCTCCTAATCTGTTCTCGGCCATCCTCCATCAGCCCTACGGGGGGTGGCGCACCTCCAGTCCTGGAATCCAAGGGGGAAGGCGGGCCCCCCACCCTGGAGAGAAAGCCCTCTCCGAAAGCCAGGGGATTCTGAGATCGGGTCAGGAGGGAGGGTTTTGATCCCGGGTTGTGCTGGGGCGATGGTGAGTCATCCAAGCTTTTGGAAATCCCAGTTCAAATCTCTCCAATTCCATTCGTTTGAAGATTCTGGGATGTGGAGCTCACAGAAAGTCCCTGGTTCATCCCCTTCCCTGGGCCAGCCTGCCATGGGGTGGGGAAAGATTCCCTGACCCCAGCTGGCCTGTATTCCAGGCTGTGGCTCAGAGAGAGTGGCCCTCATGGCACCCTGGGGGTTCCCCTCCAACTACTCCCCCACCCCATTGGCCCATCACCCGCAGCTGCATCACCCCCTCCCTCCCTGTCCACCACCTGACCCCCGTCTCCCTCCCTCCCTCTCCCTCCACCCTGTCCCCGTGTCTCCCTCCCTCCCTCCCTCTCCACCCTGTCCCCGTGTCTCCCCCTCCCTCTCCACCCTGTCCCTGTGTCTCCCCCTCCCTCCCTCTCC